GCTGATCAAGGCATTGAGTGACTCCAAGCCTTTCCTAAAGGCAAAGGTAGGAATCATCGTCCCAAATCTGAAGCCAGCAACTGGAATGGCACTGAGATACGTTTATGTGATGGGCACAGTAGGATGTCTAAACATCTGAGGGGAAATGCTACACTTGCCTCCTTCTCAGTTTGCATTTTATGGGTCCTGTGAGGGCAGTATCTAGTTGGTTAAAAGTATGAATTTGGAGGGTTCAGGGCTGGAAATCAGACATTTGAAAATGTTGTAAAGTAAAAATGATTATTTTTTAATACAATTAAGAGCAACATACGTACGTTGCTTTTAGACTGAGAAAAATGGAGAATAACATATTTGGGATGCCGTACCGAAGTGTTGTATTAATGTGAAATAGGCTGAGCACAGACCTGGTGGGTGCGAATCCCAGATAAATTTTGCCAGCAGATTGTCAGATTTTACCACTTTTTTTTTTTTATATGTGGTGTATCTTATTCCTGGTCATTTTATTTGTACTACCAAATTTTCATTGGGAACGGCTAGATTTTTTTTACGTATTAAAAGTTTTGGGTAACTTCAATATTGAGATTTTACTTCTCTTTAACTTTTCAGTATCAAGTTGGGCAGCTTTATTCGGTGGCAGAAGCTAGCAAAAATGAAACAGGAGGCGGCGAAGGAATTCAAGTTTTAAAAAATGAGCCCTATGAAAAGGATGGCGAGAAGGGACAATATACTCACAAAATTTATCATTTAAAGAGGTGAGAAAAGCATTGATACCTATGATGGTCGCTTGGTGTCGAGTGAGAACTGTTTAACAGTGAGGGCAGCCTTTTGTTGTTTACTCTTCTGGGGCACTGACTTGTCTTTTCCTGACGCTCTTTAATTTCCTGAATTGTCTGGTGAGGGGGAACGCACAGAGGATTTTAAATATGTGGGATAGAGTAATGGAGAACCATGCAAAATGTCCAGTCTGTGGGTAGGCAAATGCATCTCTAAGTGGGAATAATTTGAATCCTTAGTGTATAGCTGAAATGATGGGTTGGCATCACGGATGCTTTGTAGGGTAGCCCAAAGGACAGGAATGTTGATACAGCAGGTTAGAGAAAAGGAGGATGGTTATTGCATTACAAAGGAATAATGTTTTTACATGATGTGGTATTTAAGGAGGAGTTGTTATTGCCAGAATGCCCTTTAAAAACATCCTGTAAGGCATCACACAAGTTCTTGCGGTGTGGTAGGGTAATGCTTTTCTGAGAGAGGCTGAGTAAGGTCAGTAATACTTCCAGAAGTCACATGCATTGCAGAGTGGGTAAGCCCTGGGTTGATGGAAAACTGGCCCAAATGGGGTCTGACACTCCAGGGATTAGCAGTGGACGTTACTCCAGGGGGCTGCAGTACCCTGAGGGCAGCCGTGAGAGAATGTGTAACATGCTGTCAAGTGGTGAGGATTACTATTCCAAAGGTTTATAGCTGGGCAAAAAAAAAGATGTAAATAGCTGAAGAAGTGAATAGATTTGCAGTTGGCTGTGGTTTTCCTCTTCTGGCGTTTGGGGAGATGGAGGTGACCTCCCTTGGGCAGTGCCCTCCCTCAGCTGTTGTCTTTGCTGCGCTTGAAGACAAAAGAAAGCACAGCCTTCATCATGATCATAGTGCTTCCAAAATTTTTTCTAGCACTCTCTTAATTATCTTACTATTACTTCCCTATTTTTTTAAATTATTTTATGATCAGTAACACTGTTGGAGTTCCTGCCTGTTTAACTGTGGGTAACTTGTACATCGTAACCTGTGAAGTGGTTAGATAGAATGCGCCCTTCTTATTAGGGTGGAAGAACCCAATGAAGATTTTCAGCTGGCAACAATGTAAAAAAAATGTGGATGATGTTTGTTTTCTCACAGTAAAGTTCCTGGTTTTGTAAGGATGTTTGCTCCAGAAGGCTCCCTGGTGTTCCACGAGAAGGCTTGGAATGCATATCCCTACTGTAGAACAAGTAGGTCTCCCATTGTGTGTTTTGCTGTCGGGGTTCAGTCGAGGGGTGACCTTAAATGATTTAGGAGAAAAGAGGGTGCCATCAAGTGGAAAATATATTTCAAATTTTAATGTTGCATTTGTGAAGAGCAGAGCTGCTTCTGAAGAGCAGCCTCACTGGGCCAGTTTACTGGTTCCTACGGAGTCTTAGTATCCAGTGTCTCTAGGGTAAACTGACGAGGTCATTCTCTTAACATCTGTGTTTGGAAATAATTTAATTCTTTGTAGTCACTTAGAATAAGGTGACTGCTTTATTTTAATACTTTTAATTACATCAGTTCTAAGAATAGGCTTGATTTCGTTTGCGTTATCTTATCCTGAACTTCTAAGGTTAATGCTGGCACCTGCAGGTCTGCTGAACTCTGCTGCTTGAGGCACCCCAATGCTCTTAGGCTCACGTGGAATGTGTCCTGTACTGTGAAGCTGTCATATGTGAGACTTCTCAGAAACAACTGTATCTAATAATGCTTTGTGTTTCCTTTTCTTTTTCATTGCATGTGTTTCCGACGACCAGTTGTGACAGTGAGTATCTGAGTTACTATCAGTCCTATGCTGCGTTTTTTAAGATAAATTTTATCTATTATCACTGCTACGATTGACTCCTGACTCCAGCAAGCGAGCTCCAGCCTTTTATACGTGCCTTGCCAGGGTTCCTGGCATAAGGCTCCCTGTTACTTTATTTGTCTGCACTGGGCTATAGTTAGAAAGAACTGTAATTTGTCAGAGAAATGCTTTCATTTTTACATGTTCTTTTATGCCTTTACTTACCATCACAGCTGCATGATGTCTGTCCTGGTGAGACAGAATGCTAAAAAAGAAAAAAAGGCCAGATCAGAGGTTTCTACACTCTGGAATGCAGGAAGAGCAGTAAAAGAAAAAGTCAGTCCCTAACTGTTTGAAATCCAATTCAAGTGAAATCCTGCCTCATTAAAATGGGTTAACTGAGAATCTAAATGGATCGTGGTTTGGGGGGTTTTGTTTTCTATTTGAGATACATGGGAAAGAGATCATTAAGATTTCATTTCCCCGTGTATATATTTTGGTGAGCTGTTTAAGGAAGCTCATAATTTTAATGTTAAACTGCTTTATCTGCTCGCTCACGAACCTGACGTAGATTGTTACTAGGTGGATGCAGCATAAGGAGTGACAAAGGAGTTTGTGAACTGTTTAGCTTGACTCATGGTGATGGATGGGTGCACTGGTGTACGCTTTCTTACTTCTGAAATTGGAACTGTTCCCTGGTAGTCTTCAGGCATGCAGCTTAGGGGTTAGCTGGGCCTTTATGATCACAACTGTGCTACACAGGAACATCTCGTAGTTACTGGCTATTACCCCTCCCTCTCAGAGGGGTCTCATTAAGTTAAAGTGTAATGCAAATGTATTTTAGTTGTTTTCAGATAAAGTTAAGACAAACCTAACTGAACACAGAGGTAATGAATTTCAGGGTTGAGGAAGAAGGATGGTAATAATAGTATTATATCTATCTGTATGTGCAAAGTTAGAGGTGGATTTCTCAAACATGACTGGCTTTAATTTAGTACTTACTGCTGTAGTTGATACTAGTTACCTCATTGTAACTATTTGTGTGTGTAGGTGAGGGGACTGTTTCTTTTATAACTTAAATAGGATGTGTTGCTAGTCAAGGCTGAGTAGTGACTTTTACGTAAATAGCATTTATCTAAAATTTAAGCAGAGAAGTGTAATCAGACTCATGTTTTTTTGATTTTAATTCTTACAGAATGAATACATGAAAGATGACTTCTTCATAAAAATTGAGACCTGGCATAAACCGGATTTGGGGACATCAGAGAACGTGAGTTGGGATTTGGATACCCAGCATTAGCAATATTTTCAACACAGTCATCCAGATAAAGTATTCTATCCCTGGTAATGGTGGATAATTACTGCATAAATTCAAACCCAGTGATCAATGTAAAACAAGACAAGCATCATTCAAATCCTTCTATGGTGGTAAAGCTGTCTCACCTAATGATATGCAAGAGCAAGAAAAGGCTTTTATTTGTTGTGTTGAGGTCAATGCAGATGCTTGACTCTCAAATATTAAATAGATATTCAGTAAATTCTTACTAGTTTCGTGTTCTTTTACCTTAGACACACTAGTGCCACTTAGGCTAACAAATTTGTTTGAAAACAGGTTTCACAGAGCTATTGGAGTTTCTCTGTGGACATTTCTGTACAGTTACGTATTGAAGCTGCTCATTTTCCTCCCAAAACACTTGATTTCAGTTTACAGGTCTCTCCAGGAGATTATTTTTATCTTTAGTGGCAAACATAAACCATCCACAAAGGAATAATTGTCTGTATGTTTTCAGTGCTTGGATGAACTGTAGCGTTGTGCTACAGTTGTGTGGATTTCTTGGGCAGCTCTGATTGCTGTAATTGCCATATTAGGTGTGCCTGGCAGACTACAGGTGTGAAGCTGAATACACCTTTCTACACCTTTTATAGCACACACGCTTCATCTGGTCCATAATAAAGGCAGCCCTATGATTTAGGGAACCTACTAGGTTTAGTCAGGTTATTGAAACCTGCTGTATTTGTACTTTGGAATTTGTGCAGCTTTCTGTAGATCAAAAAGCTCATGCAGATTGCTGAGTGGGTAATGTTTCTAATTAGAGCTTGATTTCATTAGTTCTGACAAATGGGACAGAGAATACAGTTTAATCTTAAATCCAGGTTTCCTCAATGCATAAGAACTGAAGGCTTTGAGCTGTTTAAAATTGGTTAGTGAGTGAATTAACCTGTAACTGTAAAGATTATGCCTTTTGGAAAGGCAGAGGATGAGAGAATAGGTTTTGAACACTGTTTATGAAGTCCAGAAAAAGCCCCTGGCACACATACATACTGCAGAAGGTGCACCACTGTGTAAGGTGACAGCATGGAAATCATTCCTTTTTCTCTCCTTGCAGGTGCACAATTTAGATCCAAACACGTGGAAGAGTGTTGAAGTTGTCCATATTGACATTGCAGATAGAACTCAAGTAGAACCAGGAGTAAGTAAATGCTCTGCTCTTGAGATACGGGTGTAGCACGCAGCTAATTCCATTGATGCTTTGTGTTGCTTTTGAATGAAATGGTACGGATTGTGCCCAACACACAAATGAAAATTGTCCTGATTAGAATAATTCATTGCAAAGTTTCACCCTGAGGAAATGCATTTACAACTTCAGTCTACTGAATTTGACTTAGAGTTGCACAATGAAGCTTTTTAGCACAGGTGTAGATTTTACTTTAAATTGTAGATCAAGTGATTGATTTGGTCACAGAAGCATCTGTGTGCTCATCCGTGGGTGTCAGACGGAGTGCAAGAGTCTGTCTCAGCTGTGCTGCATGGCAGAGCACAGCGTCTGCGCCGAGCTACTCCTGTGCTTCTGCTACTTACTGGTTCCAGATTCTTGAGACTAAATTCTGTTGCTCCACATATCCTTGCCATAATCCCAGAGGACATCCGTGGGTGTCAGACGGAGTGCAGGAGTCTGTCTCAGCTGTGCTGCGTGGCAGAGCATAGTGTCTGTGCCGAGCTACTCCTGTGCTTCTCCTGCTACTTACTGGTTCCAAATTCTTGAGACTAAATTCTGTCGCTCCACATATCCTTTCCTCTGGGATTATGGCAATCTCAAGAGGATCCATCAGGTTTTGCTATTGAAATCTGGACCTGTGTTTTGTATTTTTGTTGGTTTGAACTTTTGTTCATCAGGGTATTTCTCAAGACGTAAGCTGCTCATCTCTTCTGAAAGCTGTGGGATTACTTTTTCAGTTTCATCTTAGTGATTGCCTTGGCAAATATAAGTGTCCTGGATACACCCAGAAGTCTATCCATAGGAGTCTGTGGTCTCTCTGTTTGAAACTGTTACCTCTTGTCCTGTCACTACAGGCCTCCGTGAAAAGTCTTTCTCCATCTTTCTTACCAGCCCCTTTATGTACTGGAAGGCTGCAGTGAGGTCTCCCTGGAACCTGCATGCCTCCAGGCTGAACAACCCCGATTCTCTTTGCCTTTCTGCACAGCAGAGTTGTTCTAGCCCTCAGGTCATTTTTGTGAACCTCCTCTGGCCTCTCTCTAACAGGTCTGCCTTGTGCTGGGGGCCCCAGGTGGGCTTTCTGAGAGCGGAGCAGAGGGGAGAATCCCCTTCCTCGCCCTGCTGCCCACGCCGCCTTGGATGCGGCCCAGGGTACGGACGGCATTCGGGGGTGCGTGCGGCATTCCGGCCTGCCAGTGCACACGGCCGGCTCGTGGCCAGCTTTTCCCAGTGTGTGTGCTTGATCTGAGTAAGAAGGTAGGCTGTGTTGGTTTGAGATGCTGGTTTATGCAGCTTCAGAGGGCGGCTTCACCACGTTTATGTGCCTGTCTTCCTTGTTATTGCTGCCATGGCTTTCACACGTGGTTATCTACAGGGGTTGGTGTCCGGTTTGTTCGGTTGTAACAGCTGGACCGTTCCATGTATAATCATTTATTTTGGGGTAGTAGGAAAATGATATGCGCTGACATTGACACTTATTAATTTGTGTTTACACAGCAGATTTGATTGTCTCCGTTTTGTGCAAGAAGGTGTCCTTTATGTTATTTAATTGTTATTTTCTGAAAATAAATACTTGGTTATCCTGCATTGTGAGGTTACAGGAAAGTAGAGGAAGGAGGGGAAAGGCTGTGGTGTGGGAAGGTTTCTGCTTCATGAATTTCCATTTGCGTTATCAGCATAGGTGTATAACCTGCACCGTTGCTTAACTGATGTTTAACAGATGATCTGTGGATTTACATGTGTGGAAATAATGTTTGGAGAACCTCCCTGTGCACCGCATCAAATGTGTCTTGCCTATTCTAATGCAGCGAGGAATCCTTTTGCTGCCCCTTGGTCTTTCAGACATTCCATGTGACCTTAGAGCTGAACTGGCAGGTAAATGTGTGTTGTGCATTCCCTCTTCCGTGCCTGGAATTGTGGCAGACAACTGCAGCGCTGTCATCTCTCGGGGTGCTTGCTTGAAGGAAGGCTAGAAAACTTGGGAAGTATAAAGTTCTGGAGGCTGGGAGGTGCCTGTCTGGAAGATCAATCTGTATTTAAATGACTTGCAGAACCAGTGGTTCTATCTGGCCTATTGTGTTTATTAGCTACTTATATGCCCATGAGCACATCTAATCCATTCTTGAGCCCATTTATAGTTCAGACCTTTATGGCATCATGAATTCTGTAGAGTGTTCGATGGAACAGAGAAAAAATACTTCCTTTGTGCCTGACTGACAGTTTAATTGAAGGGGAAGGGGGAGAGGAATGTTTCCTATTTATATTTTCTGCACAATTTGTTTTCCAGATTTTGATCATATTTTCTTTTTCTTCCCCCACCTCCTCTTTAGCTTATTTTTCTAGGCTGAGGGTCCTTATCTTTAAATCCGTCCTCATGTGGAAGCCATTTCATTTGTGGAAGTCCTTGGAACTATTTACAGTACATTATCCTCTCTTTTTTTCTCTTTTAATTGTCTTTTTTGTGTATTTGACCTACTGAGTATCGAAACTGTGATTGCAGAGTGGTTTAATCCAGATTCTTAACTCTATTCAGGTGTTTCTACACTCGCATTCTTTTTTTTTTTTTTAGTAACTTCTAACACCGCTTACTTTTAGCAGATTGTTTGAGCAAGTATTTTCAAATTCAGACTCACAGTGTAGCCTGTTACTGTGTCGGGGTACTTGGGACTAATCTTCCCCATGTGATTCCAATTTCCATTTCATCTCCCCGAAAGCGAGTTTTGCAAAGTCCTGTCTTTATTAAACAAAGACTGACTGTACTCAAACTTTCATGCAAACTTTGATAACCCAGTAATCTGTAGGCTGACACCATTTCTGCTCCACTGGTTTGGCCCCTTTCCTAGGCAGTTAGGGATTAGTTAGCAGTAGTTCTCTGGGACCCACGCTTGTAGTCTCCTCTGTTATGAAAATATGCAGTTTTTGGCCTTGGTTTTCTCTCTCTTTCCTGCTTATGATTCCATGAGAAATACTTTCCATTTATGTAATATCTTTATGAAGTTCTGGGAGTGGAATAAATTTGGAAGTTCAGCTACATCCTAGTAAGAAAATTGCCCTGAGCTATATGCTTACCCTGTGCCTTCAGAGAAGCTGCTGGTTTTGGGTAGTAAATGTCCCCTGTGAAAGCATTAGCTGTTCTCCACGTGTTGTCCAGAGATCCTTTGCCTGCAGTTCCATCGTCTTCAGTGATGCTACAGCAGTCACTACTCCCCTCAGTCAGGTAGTTTCTGAAATTGTGTGCATTGTATGGCATTTTCTTTCAATGTGATGATGTTTGTGGTTTGGGAATTATCATTCCAAATGGCTGGCTGAGTTTTTCGGTGTGCCTTTTTTTTTTTTTTTAGGGAAAAGGAATAGTCAGTGTTGCTGAAGGAAAGTTTTATTTGTACATTTCTTTTCTCAGTCACAGTTTTGCCTGGAAGAGCGACCCAAATGTGCTATTTTGGGCAAGAGTATGACTGAAAGATTGGAACTACATTTATAAGATCCAGCAATTTTGATAAAAATTTTCATATATTCACGATTTATCCTTGTGTTCAGTGAATGAACCTTATCCAACCTATTGTAGTGTGGCAGTTACTTTAGTTTCACAACACAGTCAGCGTAAATACAAAAATAGTAAATTTCTTTATGATACTAATGGCATGCATATGCTAACTCATGCTTATTTAAGTACGTATAGAAAAGATTTGGCCAACATCTGTGGCTTTCGTTAGATATAAATTTAACCCTGCCCTCTCTTAATCATCTCCAGCATGCAATCTATGTAGCTTTATGATTTGTATATAAAAATCACTTCCCAGGAGAGCATAACTTTTGAAAGAGTAAGCAGAAGTGAACACTCAATTAACATCAGAAGAGGCTGCAGTTTTGGAAACAATTTGTAAGAAAGTAGAGTGTGGTGCAAACAAAGAAATTGGAATCAGGTTTATAGCTATTTTTGTGCAACGAAGAAATGAAACGTCTTGTTCTAGGTCATAGTGGATCTTCATCGTATTACTTGAAACAAAACTCTAAAAACAGAGTCTTGTGCTGACGAGTCAGACAACTTAACGTGTACGTTAAGTACCAGAGATGCGTGCTGGGCACACAGCTGTACCGTTCCTTGTTCTGCAGTTGAAGAAATAGAATGAAATACAGGAAATGCTCTTCTTGTAGTCTGTAAGAGTGTCAAAAGATTCTTGAATGAAAGAGCTGGTTTTCTGGTGGGTGGATCTCTCCCATTTCAGACTCTTTTATCAGGTAATAAGCATCTAAAAAGTTCATATTATTAGTCCAGAAGCTTAGCGTCATGGTGCGTTTTATTGGTGGCAGTCTTGGAACATCTTATCCAGGTCATAAAGTTGACCCTCTGTATTAGCAAGGGAATCAGAATATACCTCTTAAAAAATCAAGAACATTTCTTTTTGAAGAAGCCTGAGAAAGCCCTATTGACTTAAACTGGGGTTTTTGTGGGACTTCAGTTCTGCGGGGCGGTTTCATTTTGGTGTCCAGGTGAGTCGGGTATGTGGGTGCATGGACCACTGCGGGTGCTCAGCTGGGTGACTTTGGGTCATGTGGTCCTGTCTTTATTCAGCAGTTGTTTCTCAAGTCTTGTGAAGCTCCAGTGTCAGACTCCTGGGTGTTTACAGTCTAACCTACGGAACTGCTGTGCACTGAAGGTTGCTGCAATGGCTGTGGGTATGCAGTGGTCAGTCTTGTATTTAGCTGCTGCAGAGGAAAGCCCTGGATCTCTCAAGTATTTTAACTCACTGGGAACTGTGGCTCCTGTAATGTCCCTGACTTGTTTAAATCCATGGTAGTGATCAGGATTCTGACATCCAGACTGGTAATGTCACCCCGTGAAAGTGACTGTATGGATGTGTCCCTGCCCACCAGCGCTCTTTGACGTGCCAGTATCTAGAGAGGTGTGGAAAACTGACTGCTATAGACCTGGCTTTTCACCCCAGAGTGTGTCTTCAGCTTTGCCTTGGACATTTGCACTGTTGGAAGAGGCTTGTCTGAACTACCAGGTTGGAAGAGGTGAGCTGCTCAGCCTCCATCAGTACGTCTTTAGGATAAAGATGCAAAGGAGTAAGTGTTGTCCCGGGTGATAGTTAGATGGCCCTGTTACTTATTCCCAGACTTCCATCTTCCTTACAGAAACGGCCTTTCTTCATATTGGGATGCTATTTGCTGTTTTAGGAAATAGAAGACTTGTACACACTTTTTGTTTTGCTGAATTCCTTCAGTAGTGCCTGTGGCTTGCTGGTTTAAGCATGCATCTTAAAACACCCATCCCTGGAACAAGCTATGTAGGTATAAATAGGACTTACTTCTAGCTTACTAGTGTCTTCCCTCATTCTGTCTCCTGTCTCCCCCAACTGAGGCATTTTTTTCGTATTGTCCTGGGTGCTGATAAACCTTCATCTCTTCCAGATTGTCTTATAAAACAGTCTCTTTCATGGAGACCTTTAACTCCTCGCACATAGCTCAGCGCTGCGGTCTGTGCTGATTTAACAAGGCTGATTTGATTTTTCATCTGAACCTTGGCATCCTTTCGAAGGGGATTTTGGGGAATAGCTGGCCTGATAGCTCTCCTGCAGCCACAGGGCTGTTCAGGAGAGGGGAGCGACTGCGAGACATTTGCTATTAAAAGACATTTAGCTAAACCTACCCAAAATACACAAATGCTTTTCTTGCATATCAGTTAAGCATACGGTAGCGCTGTGTTTGTTAGGAGCCTCGGGAATCACGTGGTGAGTTGGGAGTATGACATGCTTTGATCAACCTGATTTTGATCGTACTGTGCTGTGAATGAGCATTCACAGAGCTGTGGGTCATATTGGAGAAAAGTGCAAGTCCACGTTTCCTTCCACAGTCAACTGCATGTGCACTTTTGGCTAAATGCTGATGGTAGTGTGTGTTCTGTTCAAAAAGCTAATGCAGAATTGAGAGGGAAAGCCAGAAATTGTGTCCACCTGCCTAGTTAGCATTATGCTGCTCTGTTAAGGAAGCTTTTTTTGTGAATTTGCAGATAAGACATCAGACTTGTATCATTTTTATGGTTCTAAAAGTTTTCTTAAATTCATTCTGGCCTGTGTATATACTTCCAAGTTTTATAGTACTTGATAGAGTGAACTATGAGCTACCAGGACTGCTACTACTATTGCATT